AATTCAAAGGGGGGCTAATAATTATGACTTCAACTGTATATTGAAAATTATGCACAATATTATGCCTTAAGCTCTGATTACCATGATAATAGCTGCAAACAGTATTGTTGTTGTTTTACATTATTTAGCATTTATATTAGGATATATTGAATTTAACGTTTACACTAAAACTATTATTCTGCTGATGATGATAAACTGAACTGTAGTTTTCAGCAGATGCGACTATACATACCTCTGCTTTTGCTCCTGGACCTGTGCGTGGGCTTTTCTGAGCTCGTTATCCAGCTGCTCTTTGTCTTTCTTCACTCTCTCCAGCTGCATCTGTAAGGAAGTGCTGTAATTCTTCAGCATGGGCTCCAGTTTAGACTCCGCTTTAGTCTCTTTCTGTAGTAGTCGCCATTTGGTCTCCAAAAGCTTGTTCTCCTGCTCTAGTTTGCGAACCTGCCAGTGTTTCAGAGAAGGTTTATTGTCATTTATTCAGATGTCGAAAAATATTCTAATTAATTTCCAACTTCAGTCTGGTGTGATTAACAGACCTTGTCGATGAAGGAGGCGAAGCGGTTGTTGAGCGTCTTCATCTGCTGTGTCTCCTGCATGCGCACCGTCTGCAGCTCTGGGTCCAGCTGCAGATCCACCGGCGCCAGCAGACTGCTGTTCACAGACACAGGTCTGATCGGGGCTCCAGATGCCGGCATCATGTTCCCAAAGCCGAAATAAGAGTTTCCCTGCCGGGGGATTGAGGCGTTGGAGCCCACAGAGCGGCTGCTGAAACTCATGGCTAAACACACACACGCTGCTCCTGACAATCCTGATGCTTATATACTGACAGGTGGGTGTGTATTTCTGCATAAATGAAGATAAACCAGCATTCCTCAGTCTGAAAAACCTGTTCAGCCCACCTGTTATCCACAGCAAACATACTAGACATTCATGCACGCTCACCTCACTCACAACTACTGTTTTCACATTACAAAGATATCAGGTACTTAAAACGGCGAGGATTTCCTGAATGTGATGGTGTAAAATATGTGATGCATGTGTTATGGATGTGCTATTAGTTAAATGTGGCTTATTAGAGTCGCTGTTAAATATTTTCGTTGATCTGATGTGACTTATTAGTGTCATATTGTGCCATTCATGCACAATAGACAATAAATCATAGACTGTTTTTACTGCCTTTAACAGTTTTACACTGCAAAAAATGCTTTTCTTACTTAGATTTTTTGTCTTGTTTCTTGTCCAAATATCTCACAATTCTTAAATCAAGAAGAATTTTCTAGACAAGCAAAACATATTGCCTTGTTTTCAGCAATAATATGCCAAAATTAAGTGAGTTTTTCTTAAAACAAGCAAAATAATCAGCCAATGGGGTAAGCAAAATAATCTGCCTTCATACTTCTTCATCTCGGGGGCTTTTTCAGTTTATTCAATTTGCTTTTGTATAATGTTATTATTATTAGCAGTATTATTTATTATATCCATATTTATATTTGTTTTATTAAAAACAGGTTAGATTTGTCCACCAGCAGGTTTTAGAGCATATGGGGCACAGCATGTGTATTAGCATATAACTCAGGTTTTTGACCACACTTTGTTATTATTGTTCATTTATTCATTTGCTGGAAATTAGAACTGAATTTAGAAATAGTTTTGAAACAAATCTTTGCGCTTAACAAACAAAATTAATTATTCATAGGCTTATCGATGTCTGTGCGTACAACACGTTTCCCTATCCATGAGAGCAAAAGTGAAACTAGATTATGAGATGCCTTATCTCTCATTCTCGCGCTGTAGATGCTCTGTTTAACTGTTTTCTTGCTTGTGAAATGCTCAGTTTTTCCACCTACACTTACTTTACGTCTTGTAAATAGCAAATGCGCTTATGGTGCGACGCAGCTGGCTCTTAAAGGTAATGGGAGATGAGATTCTGATTGGTTTATTCTCAAAACACACCTATAACTCATTAAGAAAATGAAATCAACCCTTTTAGACCAAGCGCCACGGCGCAAAGTGGATTTTTCCGTCCTTATAATAGCAAAAATGGATTCTGACACGTCCTGAAAGCGTTTCCGCCCTGCGCTCTGCGCTTTGCGCATGGATCGTCAAAATAGAGCCCTAAGGCAGTTCTGAAGGCAAAAGGAGATCAAACCCAGTACTAGTAAGGGGTACCTAATAAAGTGGCCGGTGAGTGCATATATAAAAAACCACTGGAATTATGAAGTGTTGTCACCGACTCGGTACCAGTCATTCCCCTCGCTGGCCAGCAGAGGTCACCATCCCCGGACTTTTAAGCATTACATCATCCATCTATATACTGATTGTGCACACCTGAACTGAATCCCGGTAACGACCCACGCTTCCTATATAAGCTACACTCAAACACCAGTCCATTGCGAAGTCTTGTTTAGCCCCGGCCAGCATTACTGATCGGTCTTTCCTGCCTGATCTTCTGTGTATAACCCTGGACTGTTTCTGACTCCGATTTGCCTTCTGCCTGCCCACGACCCTTGCTTGATACACGGACTCTGAACCACGCTGCCTGCCCTCGACCCAAGCCTGTTTAACGGATTCTGAACCACGACGCCTGCCACTGATCTATGCCTGGTAAATCACTCTGTGTCTGTCAGCCGCCAGCCCCAAGACCATCAATAATTACTGTTGATGTGTGTTCGCACTTTAGTGCGTATTGGATGTTTGTGTTTGACTGTGACTAATAAATACTGCATAATGGATCCTGCAGTGTCAGTCTCCTCATTACAAGTGTGTTTCATGGGTGAGCGGGCTTGACAAACCACCTATAGAAACACACTTTTCTCTCTAAAAAAAAAAACACCCTCTTAACTCACTTTGTTCTCTGAGCACAAACGGTTCCCTAATTAGCACTTCTTGTGTGTATTGCCTCTTCTTGTTGGATTGCTGAATGCCTCCTCAACTGTATGTTGCTTTGGAGTGTCTGCTAAATCAGGGGTCCCCAAACTTTCCAACCCTCCACCCCCAAAAGGACAATGCCAGTGACTCGCGACCCCCTAATATCCTCTGAGGTGGTTATAAATACAGAAACCTTGCATGCAATGGCGCACACACACCAATAGACCCAAGTCTATTCTTCGTTTATTTTTTTTAACATATGTCAGTGTTGTAAATGGGCCAGAAAGTTTAACCTGGTGTTATAAAATCAATCTGCTGCATCTGACACTATTGCTGTGTCTTTAATATAATGTAATTACCCCAGGGGTCGCAATCCAATAGAACTAGTAACTAAGCTACTATAACTATACAGTATATAGTAACTGTAAACGATTATTTTTTCTCTTCAGTAGGTTATGAATAAAGTATGCTCATTCTTATGATTAAAAAAAAAAAAGATTTTTGGAAATCACCAGGCGACCCCCCCCCCTCCCCTTTTATTGTCCCGACCCCCACTTTGAGAACCACTGTGCTAAATGACCACATGTAAATGTAATAAATAATTAGGCCCGGCCCTAACCAGTTTGGCACCCTAGGCAAGATTTCAATTTCAAAGAAATTCCACTGCTAGTGTATAGTCATACGAAACTATATAGCTTTTTGATCGACTACTACAAGCTGGGAAAACGTCGGCTAAATATGCCAATGCACCATTAACGTTATAGCTGAATAGATCTCAATTTTACACATTTGAGGAAGGAATGATGGGGGTATTTACATTACTATTACTATTTTCCATAACATCCATGCCCTTCCATAACATTAGGTGACGTTAAAACTAACAGATAGCACTATTTAGCTATCTAGTTAGCTATTTAGCTAAGATAGCTATTCATTGATTAGCAATCTGTCAACGTTGGGATGTAAAAAATATGGGACAACAAATAGCTTCAAATGATAGAATATATAGCAAACATTAGAAAATATTGACAATAAAATAAAAGGTTTAGCCTATTAAAATAAATAGCCTATAGAAATTAATTAAAGCTATAAAATCTCTTTCACTTTTAATTGTATTTGCATATTGATTAAAGTTACTATAGTTATTTAGTGAAGAGCAGCAAATGAATCTCTCATTGTGTTTTGTTTGATAACAGAGGTGTTAATGTAAGAATGCACAGATCTATAATAAAGCATTCAACTACTTAAGTAGCTGTGCTCATTTATCAAAAAGAAGCACTTTTCCGACGGTTCCTTACTCAAAGCCGTGCTCAGCGCGAGCTCTCCTGGTTAAACGCAGATTGCGAGGACTCAAACGAAGAAGTGGTTGTAATGTCGAGCGAAAAAAAGAAAAGAAAAAGACAGCTGTGAAACATAACCAGCTTTGTCTTTTTGTAGTAAACAGGCTTTAGATCTTTTTAGGGTAAGAGGTTTTTGAATTATTGCCGTCTATCACTGAATGTGTCAGGAATATCGAAAACAAAACCAACTTAACCACGCTCATTTCTGGCGCCCCCCTGGATGTACAGCGCCCTTAGCATTTGCCTATACTGCCTATGCCACGGGCCGGCCCCGTAAATAATCATTTTACCTAAGGGCATCCACTGTGTAAAACATATGCTGGATAATTTGGCAGTTCATTCCGCTGTGGCGACCCCAGGTTAATAAAGGGACTAGGCCGAAAAGAAAATGAATGAATAAACAAATCCCCCAATGGACCCTTTTCACCTTTTACAGACTGTGACCCGTTTAATTGTTATCAGCATCTTAAATCCTTGAAATATATAAATTAAAATTAAAGTTACTTAATAAAACTAATTAATAATAAAAAAATATTTTGAAAATCAAAATTAATGTAAAAATATACAATTAAAAACGTATATAATAAAATCTACAAAAGTGTCTCAATATACTAGAATTCTCCATAAATAAACAACAATATAAATATTGTTTGACAGCATAAACAACAACAAAACAATGTTTTAAGTGTTTTTGATAAATAAAGATGCAAAAACAAGTCGCAAGAGGGCGACGAAGCTTAAAGTTTATCCCAGCAGGATCCCTCAGGGGGCACTGTGGAGACCCACGCAAAACTCCACTTGCACGCACGCAAATCTGCTTCCTGTTTACATTTTGCAGAGCACTTTCACTGCGAGCAGAAACAGCAGAGACATCGCCTCAAACTCCTGGAAACAGGCTCCGAGCTACAGTAGTTGTGACCCGCCGCTGTCCGTGCGCCTGCAGCCGATCCTGTCTGATAGACAGGCCGTTTCAATGCATTTCAGAGAAGCTTTACCGCCGCGCAGATGGACGCTGTTGATCTGTTTTCAAGCTGCAGAAAGGGCGACATTGCCAGAGTGAGGTCAGACAGACCCATGCCTTCTCCTTGTTGTTGTTTTGGTTTTATGTTTCACATATAAGCAGATATCCACGGCCTTATATGTGTTTAATATGCTGACATAAACTATACTGATTCTGCGTGTGCGCGTAGGCTTACTGTAAATGCTCCCAGCCTAAATAAATGATCTCTGGTGAAGTAAAGTTGGTTTTATATTCACACATTCAGACTTTCTCGTTAAATTGAGGTACAGTTGGTTTTATATTTACACATTCAGACTTTCTCGTTAAATTGAGGTACAGTTGGTTTTATATTTACACATTCGTTCAGTTTTAAACAGTGACAACTTGTGACACTTTCTATTTTGTTTGTTTCTCTAATGTTACTTTGAATATTCCGTCTAAAAATAGCATTTAAATACGACTTTTTAATAAATTTAGCACTATTTAATTGACTGTGAACAATTCTTTGATAGTCATTGGCTGCTAATATGACTTCCCTATTTATAATTTGCAAATAATACTTTTTTGAAATCATAATATTTAGGTTACAGTACAAAATGTGTGAATATAAAATCAATTTTTCCTCAGTGTTGTTGTTTTAGTTTTAAGTTTCACATATAAGCAGATATTCGTCACTTAATATGTGTTTAATATGCTGACATAAACTATACAGATTCTCCGAATGCATGTAGACGTAAATATTGCCAGCCTACATAAATCTCATTGAGGTAAAATCGGTTCTATATTCACACGTTCTGACTTTCTCCTTAAATTGAAGGTAAAGTTGATTTTATATTTACACGTTTGTTCATTTTGTTTAACTTTTGGCACACTCTCTATTGCTTCTTGCGCTACTTTAAAATAATATTCGGTCTGAAATAGGCATGAGGCCTATTACCGTGGTTTGGAAAAGTCAAGTTTTTTGTTGTTGTGTTTTACATGTTTTTTCACAACATTTTTATTTACTTTTTTAGGGCAACAGTATCTTCAGCAGAAAAGCTACTTATCCACACTATTTGAAATGTTTCTTAAAATAAAATATATTGTGTTCAATAGGGGAAAATAGTAGCTTTTTACTCAGACATTTAAAAAGAACTTATTTTGGGGCAATAATCACAATACCGCAATACAGTGAAACCGTGATATTTTTAACCAAGGTAATCATACCGCCAGAGTCTTATACCGGCCCATGTCTAGTCTAAAATGGCATGTAAAAACGACTTCAAAACAATATTAGCACTATTTAATTGACCGAGAATAATGTTGTACTTTGATGGATTTTGGCTGCTAATATGATTTAACTGTTTAAAATTTGCAAAGAATAGTTTTGTGAAATTATAATATTAAGGAAAAAGTCTAAATGTGTGAATATAAAAACAATTTTACTTCAGTGTTGTTGTTTTGGTTTTAAGTTTCGTATATAAGCAGATATTCACAACCTATTATGTGTTTAATATGCTGACATTAACTACAGACTCTGCATGCATGTAGACACTGTAAATACTCACAGCTTACTTTGATCAAGTTTTAAAAATTTTATATATATATATATATATATATATATATATATATATATATATATATATATATATATATATATATATATATATATATATATGCATATATATGACTATATATAAATGCATATCTAAGCACATGTTTATGATTTTGATTCTGATACTGTATCTGCATATATAAGCAACAGTGTTTATACTAAATTACACTTTAGTTCTGTATATTCATATTTAAGCACAAATGCATGGGCTTTAAATCTTTTTGATACCATATATGCATGTCTAAGCAATGCTTGGCTTATTTATAATGCAGATGCTGTGTATGTGTTCAGTTGTCAAGATGTTGTTATATTGCAGTATTGAATTGGGCTTCTCAAACACATTTGCTTGAAGCACATCCTTTACTTGTAACACTGTGATACGCTTGAGTTGTTTTTCAGTGTCATTAAGTGTGACAGCAATGGTGTGAAATAGTGAAAGTCACCCAGTTGTGGCCTCAGAATCAGAAGGAAAAGCATGTGAGAGGGACAGATAACATGGCGTCACTGTGTTGACCCACATACTGGAATTACTGTACACTAGTTTGCAGATTTCTTGAAGCACACTGGTTGTACTCTATCTGATGCCTGATTTATTTATTTATTTTTTTTATGTTTTCCAGATACTTGGTTGAACAAAGGGATGTAGAACTGAACATCAGAGATAAGTGGGACAGCACACCTCTGTAAGATTGCTTTATTAATATTATTAATATTCAGTGCTGTCAGACGATTAATCACATCCAAAATAAAAGCTTATATTTACAATAAATAATATAATACAAATTAATATAATACAATACAATACAATACAATACAATGCAATGCAATGCAATACAATATACATTGAAAAGATCAATGAAAAGATAATTTCAAAACAAATCCTCCTCAACCCAAAGCTTTTTTTTTTTTTTTTTTTTTTTTTTGCTGGGCTTATATCCAGAGGACTCAAATTGTAGTAGAAGTGAACAAGTATTTATAGACCTCAGCTTGCTTTATGCCAAAAAAATGTGTAGCTTTGCTATAGAAAAAGATGCAAAGACCAAACGCTACTCAATGGATAAGACAAACGTTGTCAAGCCTGCCATTAGAAAAAATAACTTGTATACTAAAAGCTAAACAGCGTGTATTTGAAAACATAGTCCTTTCATTAGTTATATCAAAGAAGTGGAATTAACAGAGGAAGAAGTTGATGAATAATTTTTGGTGGACAATGCATTCCAGTTTTATAGTTCTGTATTGATACATTCTTCTATATATAGTTGCTGTACCTAGAGCTCAGTATGATTATAATTGACATGTTTGAATAGATAACCATTAATGACAAAGAGAGGAGCACTTTTACTTTCACTTTTACGCAAACTGAAAACAAAAGTAAAAATATTATGGAAAAAAATCGAAACATAATATAATATAATATAATATAATATAATATAATATAATATACATTTTTATTTTTTGTCCTATTAATGTTTATTAAGAAACCGATGTGATTGTGTGTTATATATTGTATATTTAGTATAGATTGTGCCATGAATATAGCCAAAGCTGCTGATTTGGCATTAGAACATAACAAAACAAACAATAATATAATATACAAAAACTAATCTTTACAAATGTATTTGTAAATTGCATTAGATATCAAATATCTAATCTACTTGCTTGTATTTATATAAATTATATATGTATATACACACACACACACACACACACACACACACACACACACACACACACACACACACAAGCTTTTTTATGGATGTGATTTATCAGGATTAATCTTTCGACAGCACTGTTTTTTTCTTTCTTTATATATTTTTTTATTTGTCAGTGATGTGTGTTGTGCTTTCTCTTCTGTCTTCAGGTATTATGCATGTCTCTGTGGACATGAAGAGCTGGTGCAGTACCTGCTCGCCAACGGTAAACGCTAAAATCATAATACATCATTAACCAGGGAGTTATGATCTTTCAAATATTCAGAATGAGAATCCTTAATAAACATTCAGCTAGTAAAACTATATTTAATGAGAACTCTCAAGTTTTTTTTTTTATTTAACTTATGGTTTGTGTTTTTTTTTATTGATTGAGTTAGTTAGTTAGTTAGTTAGTTAGTTAGTTAGTTAGTTAGTTAGTTAGTTAGTTAGTTAGTTAGTTAGTTAGTTATTTGGAACACACATCGCGAAACGTAGTGGACTTTATTCGGAGGCCGTTGAGATAAACTGTTGATTTACTTTTTTAATGTATTACATTATTTATATTATTATATTATTTGTAAGATTATTTGTTTGAAATTAGAAATTAGTTCCCACGTTTCTTGAAAGTACTTGAATTTCAGACATATGAATTCAAGGCCTGGAAAGTACTTCAAAACAAACATAGGTCCTTGAAAATGCTCGAATTTAAAGTGTATGGTGTTATTTCTGCAATTGAACTATTCTGCTTTCATAAACTGAAACAAAAAAACTGAAATTCTTAATATAAAAAACATCCATCCATCCATCCACAGGATCTATCTATCTATCTATCTATCTATCTATCTATCTATCTATCTATCTATCTATCTATCTGTCTGTCTGTCTGTCTGTCTGTCTGTCTGTCTGTCCGTCCGTCCGTCCGTCCGTCCGTCCGTCTCTCTGTCTGTCTGTCTGTCTATCTATCTATCTGTCTACCTACCTATTCTGGGGGTGTGAATTACAAACGTTCTCGATGTATTGCTTTTAAAAAGTCCTAGAAAGTTCTTGAGTTTGGTGTCCATAAAACAGTGAGAACCCTGGTTTTAAGTGTATTTGTGGTATTTGTGTAAGTAATCCCAGACGTGTGTATTGTGTGACAGGAGCAAAGTGTGAGGCGAACACGTTTGACGGCGAGCGCTGTCTGTACGGAGCTCTGAGTGACGCAATTCGTCGTCTGCTCAAGGAGTACAAGCGCATCACAGCCAAGGCCATGCAGAGAGACTATTACGACCAGTTCCTGCAGACGTGAGCATTACAAACACACACTACCACACACTTCACACGTTTTAAGTCAAGTTAAAGGGCCATGAAACCCCCTCGTTTCAGCAGGGTGTTTTCACACCTCTACTTTGGAAAAAGTCAGAAAAGTGGGCGTGTCCAGCTCTGTTTAGGGGGGAGTGTCGGAGGAACTAAAGTGGGAGGGTGTGGGAGTGTCTATTTTGGCACGCGCGAGTTTCAGAGTCAAAATACACACACAGTAGAAAGTGATGGTGTTTAACCTACATGGACATCTGTAGTCGAATTATTTGCCAAATTATTAAATGGTGGACTTTAACTGCAGTTTGGCTCTTTGATTCAGGGAATTCATTCATGTCCCTCGCGACAAACAAGATATTTGATTCGAGGAACTGCTCTAAGCGTGTATTTTTCATGCAATGTTTGATACCGCACGGCGAATGAGAGAAAAAAACCCTCCGCATTTCCCGGAAACTTAGATGCACATGGCAGGTAGTGTCAGAAAGCCGCGTGTGTTATTCCGGTCACAAAATGCGGTGAAAATCCTACACGAGGTAAAAGTTTGGTTGTGGTGCTAACATGTTTACACTCTGTGCTATAGTTAACTTATTTCGATACGAACAAACTGAATAAACAAAGAGCACTGGTCGCTCACTTACCAAATCTGTAAAGACAGGACAATCACCAGAAACTAGAGCCGCGTCTTTATTAAGAGAATACTACAAGCGAATCCGGATCTCAGCATTTGCAGATGAGAACAGCTCTCAGGTAAACAATAATCCTCCTTAGACACGTAAGTTATTGTTGTCGAGCGTCGCGTACACTGTTAATCCACACGTGACGCCAGCTGAGCTCTCACAGAGAGAAAATGAAAACAAAGCTTAACGGCAGCAAACTATAAAAGCAACACTTCACGCTTGTTTTGCCAACACAACGTGGCGTCTCTGTCGTCTAAACACGGTGACACTAATGAATATTAATGAAGTTGCACATTAGAGCGCGCTGATTGGTTTGAACCAAGCCTTACTCATGCATTAATGCATCACACTGTAAGACGTAATAAGACACACTCTGGCACAGATGTCCAGTCTGCACGCTGGAATACACGATATTATGTCATGACCGTGACGCAGCTTCAAAAGTTCGTTTCAAACTGGAAGTACGAATTTGCTTGAAATAACGCAAAAACAACCAATTTACACTTTTTAGTGAAATATAGGTGTCCTAATAGTGTTTTTAGCAGTGTGGGACACATATACGACTGTCAACAGCTCAAAAAATGTGTTTTGGTGTTTCGTGACCCTTTAAGCTTTGTCATTCCGCTACATGTGTGGACATACAGTGCAAATGTCATGTCTCACAGGACCACGGTGCTACATAAATAAATAAACTTCATCCAAAGATGTGAATTAGGTTTATGTACCGAACTGGAATATAGCATACCACATATGTGAGTAAAGCACCGTTTCTGTTGAAAGAGTCAAAGAGAACAAAATCATCACTTCCTGATAAACTGGTGGCAAACATCAATAAAGAAAAATGCAGTTTGATGCAGTAGGAGAAGCCACTGTGGGCCTTTTTTCTTATATTATAAATGACTTGCGCCTAAGAAGACGAAACGCAATGAACGCAATCCACTGGCTTTTGGAGCAGTGAGACACTGACGCTCAAGACAGTTCTGGAGGTATTAGGGAAAATATAATAATAATACTGAACCACTGTTATGACAGACTTTGGCTGAGAGATTTTCGACTGACCAAAACAATCGTTCAGATGCTTTACAATGTGCTCGCTCCAATAGTTTGTCCTAGAGCTGCACAATTAATGGTTAAAAGATCGCAATCTCGATTCGACCCTCTAGACTAGGGGTCACCAATCTCGGTCCTGGAGGGCCGGTGTCCCTGCAGGGTTTAGCTCCAACTAGCTTCAACACATCGGCCTGGGTGATTCAAGTATACCAAGTAATAGCTTGATTAGCTTGTTCAGGTGTGTTTGATTAGGGCTGGAGCTAAAATCTGCTGGACACTGGCCCTCCAGGAACAAGTTTGGTTGACCACTGCTCTAGACGATCTTAATCCAGCATTTCTTCGATTCTGCCAATCATATTTTCAAGTTCAGGAGAGAAGAAAAGGCGGCTGCACGAGTCTTTTTTTATTGTTTCACATACCTTGCTCAGTGACATGGACACCTCCAAATGATGTTAAATTAGTCACATAATGTATTTTATAGGTATAATTCACCTAAAAATGTCATTTTTGTCTTCATATAATGATGTTTTCGCGGCCGGGAAATCACAAGAGACGTGAGCTGCTGACCGAGCTGTCATCACAAAGAGGGCGCGCGCGCGCTCTACTTAATGATAGACACATGCGCGTCTACTTTAGTGAACAGAACCTGCAAATGTTGCGAGTAACAGGTAATACAGTTGTCAATAATATTCAGTTTGTGGCACCGAGTGATTGTTTGGGAGCCACGCGCGAAGTATGAACAAGCACTTAGCAGTCAAAATGAAACCGAAAGTGTGCACTTTATTTAAATGATTATATCGCATTTTAGAGTTATGATTACGGCAAGCGTTTATGTTTTTTCTTTTATAGCGAAAATGTTTACAATGTCAGTAAAACTACTCTTGCCTATATATTGTTGAATATAATCTGATAATGGCAAATGTCTGATTTTACCAGTGAATAAATTTGTCTAATATGACAGATTGCAAGCATATATCTTAAACATAATAATTCAACATCAGAATTATAAGTAGAATAGAATTATTTATAAAAACCAGTAGACCTACACATAATATTATTATCGATGTTGTGCCATGTTTGTTTTTACCATACCTTTATTTTACATCTACAGAATCGTGAGAAAATCGTGATCTTTATTTTAAGCAAAAAAAATCGATATTCTCATTTTAGCCAGAATTGTCTCATCACGCACATTTTATCATCACATGATCTATTAAAATATAACTTACATGATTTTTAAAATCTGAATGCTGAAATGTATTCAGTAAATGTGTTTCCATTGTAGTTTATACACATTTTCTTCTGTTGGATTAAAAGATTATCCTGCTCAAAGTGTTGCATAAAACTGCATGAAAGTGGAAACAATGTGGATGGAAACAACTAAGTAATGTCTGCTTTTCTGCCTCAGGCTTTTGGAGCAGGGAAACTACAGCGATGTGACATTTGTGGTTCACGGGGAGATGTTTAAGGCCCATCGGTGTATCCTGAGTGCCCGGTCTGAATACTTCGCCCACATGCTGGAGACCAAGTGGAAAGGCAAGAGTGCCATTGCACTCAAACATCCACTGGTAGGCGCTGTTTCACTTCACATAAGTCACTTCTAATGTACTTATTCACAGGTTCCATGCTGTACATCTGGTCTATTGTGTGTGAGAAATGGGACTAGTGCATCCAAATTCATGTTAACTAGTGACTAAGTGGTGTATTATTTCTAATGCATACTAGTTGGTTCTCAAGTGTGGATATTTTTTGTCTAAAAATAACTATCTTGTAAAGTGATGCCCTTTGACTCATTCAATGTCAATAAAATCTTACAAACTTACTATAATCTAATTTTTTAAAAAGTATTATTATAAAGCATTTTTTTAGTTTTTGTTTTCAACCGAGTGCATCCGTAATTTTTAATTCAGTCCACCCATATTAAGAAGTATCTTTTTTTTTTAATCCAGTACAAGAAGTTCTGCACTTGTTTATGATGTGTGCTTGGTTATGATCAAGTGTGCTCTTTTATGCAAGTGTGCAAATTAGGCAGAATTATTTTTTCCAAATTAAAATAATACTTTTAAATTAGTGCTGTGAAAATTAGCGCATTAACGCACGCAATTAATTTGAAATATTTAATGCGTTAAAAAATTGTTTACGCAATTAACACAGTTACAGTTTTTTTATTTCCTGTTGTGGCCGAGGTGTGTAAAGAAATATGGATAAGACCAAGGAAGCGCTTTTAGAAGGAAAGTTTCAGTATAAAACAATTAATGTCGCATCACTAGGCTATCCAGCGTTTCCTCCAGAGGTTCATGTAATTTCAGGTGTTTTATTTTTAATCTTTAGACTTTAACTGCAGTTCACTTTCATTCAGCAACATATTGTTCATGCACCGTGAAAATTATTGGATGAAAATATCAAGTAAGGACTTTGATACCGCATGGTGAACAGAAGGAAAAAACGCCGCATTTCGGGACTTAGGTGATCCTTTACGTTAAACAAAAATCGCTGTTTACATGGTAGACTCTTAATCATTATCTTAATCATAAAATTGGAGTATTGGTATCTATGTAATTATACTCAATGAATGTGCCTGATGATGTCGCAATCTGTCAAAACAGCCTATTTCTCTGCCTTTAAGTTGAATACATGCACCCTCAAATGTTTCATTAATTTTGACGTGTTTCCCCTCTACACGCAACTTTTGTAAAGGATCTGCTTCTCGTTGCTGTGTCAGAATCCTTGCTTGTAAAATACAGCCATATTTAGAATGCTTCGTTTAAATTCGTTTAAATTTGATGAACAGAATAGTGCGTGTTGACGAATGTAAAGGGAGTTGCTCACCGAGTGCGCTGTACTGCATGCGTTGTCTGTGTTTGCTTTTCCTAGCAACAAGAGTAAACGCCTGACATCGCTGAATGTGTAAAGTCTTTTTAAGGCATTCTATATGTATTCTATTGTCGGTGTCAGTATCCCTCAAAGCTGTTCGGAATTAAATGTTTAGAGATGGTGTAATCAAAGTCTCTGTAGGAAGTCTATAGTCTTTGGTACGTGCCTTGATGTACCCCTTGGCCACATTGTCCCCCAAAAATGTCAATAGACTGGACTGTCTTAGCAACAGGCTAAATGTTAAGGAGGACTAAGCAAAATTGTTTCTACTTTATAATTAATGTTCTCAACTGGCAATACAACTTTACAATAAGTACAACTGTTTGTGTTCAATGCTTTATTATTATTATAATTTTCCATTTTCCATATTTTCAGGGCCTGTATTTTAGATTTTTTTTGTAGTCCCCTTAGTATCCAACACAGAAATCATTTTTGTGTTTTATTGGCATTGATTGTTTTGAAATTCAAATGGCACTTACATGCCTGTGTTATTATTATTATTATTATTATTATTATTATTATTATTATTATTGTAATAAGTATGGCGTTTTGCGATTAATCATGACTAATTACAGAAAAGTGTGATTAATTAGTTATTTTTTTAAATCAATTAACAGCCCTAGTTTAAATCAGTATGAATTAGGATTTATGTATTAATAATAAAGAATCTATCACTGATATCAGCATGAATAAAAAATCATCAGTGACACTAAATTAGTCAAATGTGACTAAACATTTATAAAGTAAAAATTGGTATAAGACAAATATCTCTTAATATACATACTTAAACTTTATTTTTTTGAGGTAACTAATATAATTTGTGAATTGCAATTATGTAAACAATAATTTGTGTCATTGTTCAAGACAATATTAAGTTTTTGAAAAATAAGAGAAGGGCAGCATGGTGGCTCAGTGGTTAGCACTGTCGCCTCACAGCAATTAGGTCGCTGGTTCAAGTCGTGGCTGGATCAGTTGGCATTTCTGTGTGGAGTTTGCACGTTTTTCCCGTGTTGGCGTAGGTTTCCTCCGGGTGCTTCAGTTTCCCCACAGTCCAAAAACATGCGCTAAAGGTGAATTTAGTAAACTAAATTGGCCGTAGTGTATGAGTGTGTATGGGTGTTTCCTTGTACTGGGTTGCAGCTGGAAGGGCATCAGCTGTGTAACATATTTGCTGGATAGGATGGCGTTCATTCCGCTGTGGTGAGTAATGAATAAAGGGACTAAGCCAAAGGAAAATAAATAAATGAATGAATGAATGAATGAATGATGAGGTTTATCTAGGATCTAGAATCCAGTTCTAGTTTAATCAACTATATGTACACATTTACTTCAAAAATCGATGCTAATCTAATACTGCTGTTCATTTCCTCCTGTACAGCTTAAAATATCTTCTCCCTCGAGTTGTGTTCAATTAAGAAGAACACTGTCTTCTCTTTTATATCTTCATCAGCACTCTTTAAACTGTCATGATCCTAATGGGTGAACTTTCATTTCTTTTTTGTAGGTCAATCCTGCTGCCTTTGGTGCGATCATGCAGTATTTCTACACCGGTGAGAGTCAGACCAGACTGTGGTTCAATAGCTGGTGCCAGACGCTGTTTTTCTTCACTCTCTGCTGTTTTTTCCAGGTCGTTTGGATATCGATGTGAATTACGTAGAGGACTGCAAGCGTTTGGCCAAACAGTGCAAGATCGGCGAGCTCATTGAGGAGCTGGAAGTGAAGTGCAAACAGGTTTATGAGTTTGGTGAGGAGCCTTTGATATCTGTGAGAATCATTTGAAACTTTAATCAAATTAATAATTAGCTTTATAGGCTACAAACCAAATACATACTGAATGCATTCATGCAACATTAGGAGTCGTTTGATCACAAATGTTGTAAAATCTGGATTATTCTGAAATGATGTTACAAGATTGTGTAAAGCTGAATTTTCAGGATTGGAGTCACATGATCCCGGAATCATATGCTGATGTAATGCACAAGAAACATGTCTGATAATATCAATGTTGAAAACATTTGTGCAGCTTCAAGGTCTTGTGGGAAATCATGATAATTCCTCAATGTCCTTTAAAGAGAGGAAAGTTAATTATTCGATTTTTAGAAAATCTGGCATTCTGTTTTTAGATTACATGTAGGCTAACTCTCATGATACTTAAACTGATCATTTATTTATAAATATGCTTTTTTTATTGATTGATTGGTTTTATTTAGCATTATATTTTGACCCTGTCCTTCTTTCATTTTTCTTTTTTTCTTAATTCATTATTTTGTTTTTGTAAATTTGTTTTTTCTTGTTTTAATTTATTTACTTTCCCCTATGGGGAGTCAGTAGCTTTAGCAATCACAGTAAATGATTATTTACAAAATTAATGTTGTGATTTTTTTGACATTCTTGACAAAAATTTCAATAGGGTAAATGCCGAAGCATGCTAATAGGACTTTTAATTAGCCAGTATCCTGGGTTAACCGCTTCCGGTGAACTGTATGCGATTGCAAAATCGGCACGTTTAAGGTCTGTTTTCTTTCAAAATTAGCGATCTTTACTGGCTGAGTGATATCCAATATAAAGTGGGTCTTTATTACATTTTCCCCACCATGACTTCATAATATGAGCATTTATTTTAACCCAGTACATTCAATGGAGCTTCTGCGCTCCTCTGCTGATTCTGACAGGTGTGTGCGAGTAAACGGCTTTTTGTCTCATTTTACGCTTGAGCAACTAAATGAATGCCAAAGTCTATTTAACTGATTATATTTTAATGACATTAAAATACAATACACTACAATACAATACAACTCACTATAAAAGGTCACCGGAAGTTTATCAGTATGCGAATAACACTAGCTTGGCATATACCCTATATAGTAAGAAATAATAAGAAATTTTAAAATAATGAACAAAACAATCGTTCATAACTTTACAAATATTTTTATTTCATGCATTCTTGTTAAAAACAAAATTATATCAATATTTTATTAACAAAATGTAGCCACAGCGGGTAAATATTGAGCACGGTCTGTTTTTTCCAGGGAATAATATTTCTAGAGGAGCTGTTGACGTGGAATTGAACCAGATTTTGGGAAAAACCCAAACAATACAAACACAAGAATAAAACAAATCTGAAAAATGAGTTATGTGAAATAACAGTGGAATGGCACAAGGAAAAAGTACTGAACTATTGAAATGTAATACTATGTATAAAAGTTTTTTTTTGGTGACGACAGCTTAAAGACGCCTCTCATATGGAGAATAAAGTCACATGCATTGCTCAGGTGTGAGTTTCTCACGAACTTCAACAGAGTCAACACAAATCTTGATGGTTCTGTGGGTCTCATCTATCAAATCTGAGCTTTATTTGGTATTTTCTATTGGATTCAAGTCAGGTGATTGGCTGGGCCATTCTACAGCTCGATTTTCTTTCTCTGAAAGCATTTGAGAGTTTCCTTGGCTGTGTTTTGGATCATTGTCTTGCTGAAATGTCCACCCTGGTTTCATCTTCATCATCCTGATAATGAAGATGTTGGACTGAAGCAGCGAATATTCATTCACACTGATGAAGAGCGGAGGGTTGCTAAAAAACTACTGAGAGATTTCAGCTGCTGTCTGGGCTTTCACTACTTTTCTGCACCTCCCTTTCTTCATGTGATCAATACTTTTGTTTCAATACTTTTTGATCAATACTTTTTGTTTTGTTTTCTTTGCAAATATGGAGTTCTTTGCTTGTTACCAACATCTGGGGAAACTTTGAAATCAACAGCACCTTTAGAAATATGTTTTCTGAGAAATATGGTGACGAGTTTAATACTTATTTCCCCCGCTGTATATAAGGATTTTTTTTACTTAATGATTTCTAATTTTAGTCTTTAAAAATGTTTCAATAAACTAATGATAGCTGCACAGTATACATTAATAATAATATGACCATTATTTTTTTCTTCTACAGTAATGCCATTTCTTTTTGATTTCACCTTAAAAACCACAATAATTTCATCACTTTTGTCAAAACTGTTTACTGCAGCTTTAGTGTATCAGTTATAAATCATATTGAAAGTAATCTTCTTTCTCTCGGTCAGTGTCCAATAAGCCGGGCACGTGTGTGAAGGTGTTGACTCTGGATCCGCATGACTTCCAGCTGCAGGACGGCATGGCTCTGCTGGCTGACAGTGCACTTCCTGCAGAGCTGCGGGTGAGAGGAAAAACACACACACATCCAGTCCTACAGCCCTTATCATCACCATGATCATTCATACATGGAACATTCGTGAGGGATTGTGTTCCCCAAAATTATGGGATGTGTGGTTGCTGAGCAACTGGTGGCCAAATTAGTAGTTTTCAAAATGTCAAAAGCTGTTTGAGCTCAAGGCTTTTGATTTGAGAGCCACTCATCTTAAGTCATGAGGAGCAAATCTGCAAATCGCAAATGCTTTTTTATTGTCTTACACTTTACTTTAAACTTTATTGTCCATTTAGCTTTGTTTTTCACACTGATGACTGTAAATACATCCACAAAAAGATGCTAAAAGCAAACATAACACAGTAGCTATGTTTCCATCTACCTATTTTTAATGCTCATTTTGGAATGATAAACAAAAAAATTATTAATGGAAATGCCAACATGCGCATACAACATATGCACACTACTGGGTAGGATAAACTTCAATTCTGATTAAAAAATGTGCATAAACTACGCTGGAAACACATTTACTGAATAATTTCCAGCATGCAAATCAAAGTCATGTTTTAACAGATCACATGATAACAAAAATGTGTGCGATGGGACGACATTACTGGACATTTCAAAAATTTCTTAGTCATTCTGGAATCCCTCAGCCAAAGTCTGTCATCAAAGTGGTTCAGTGTTATTATTATTAACTCCAGAACTGTCTGTGCTCATGAAGAGTGTCTCACAACTCCAAAAAGCCACTCTTATTAGGCACAAATAATTTACTATACAAGTAAAAGGCCCATTGTGGCTTTCCTTTATATTTATATATATACAGTTGAAGTCAGAATTAATAGCCCCCCTGAATTATTCGCCCCCCTGTTTATTTTTATCCCCAATTTCTGTTTAATGGAGAGAAGATTTTTTCAACACATTTCTAAACATAATAGTTTTCATTCATTCATTTTCTTGTCGGCTTAGTCCCTTTATTAATCCGGGGTCGCCACAGCGGAATGAACTGACAACTTATCCAGCAAGTTTTTACGCCGCGGATGCCCTTCCAGCTGCAACCCATCTCTGGGAAACATAATAGTTTTATTAACTCATTTCTTATAACGGATTTATTTTATCTTTGCCATGATGGCAGTGAATAATATTTGACTAGATATTTTTTAAGACACTTCTATACAGCTTAAAGTGACATTTAAAGGCTTAACTAGGGTATTTAGGTTAACTAGGCAGGTTAGGGTAATTAGGCAAGTTATTGTATAATGATGGTTTGTTCTGTAGATTATTTATATATATATATATATATATATATATATATATATATAAATTATCTGTAATAATGTGTATATATTTGGGAGCAGTTTATCAGGAAGTCATTTGACTCATTGGATGGAAACAGTGCTTTTTTAGCAGATGTTTTGTGCGATATTCCAGTTTTGTACATAAGTCTAATTAAAAATAAGCTACTGACATTCCTGATTGCTACTGACATATTAATAATTATACTCCCAAAACTAAGTGGAACGGTTTTATTGTTACTTTATTACATTTTATTTGTTTTACTAGATTTAGAATTAATTAAAAGTGTTTTATACAGTTTTGCATCTTTGTTTTACAACTTTCCGTTGTTGTTTTTTTCAACCAAAACCATACTGTATCAGATTTTTGATAGAAGTGAATTTGTTTGGCAAAAGCCAGTGCTATTCAAAGCTGGACCAATATTTTTGCAAAGTTGCTGAAAAAGCATAAAAGCTGATATTTTCTATCTTATACAGTAAATCTGATTTCTAGTTAATTTGATTATTTATTGATATTTTTTTGTACAAGTAGACGGTTTCATGGCATCTACTTATATATTTGATATATATTTGTATGTATATGTATTATGTATATATTTTTAATATGTTTCATGTTTATTATGTTTCATAATTTGAATAAATTATTGATCTTAAAAATTAAAAACAGAAGAGAAATTGGTTGAAATTGAAATAACCTAAAACCTTTAAACAGTTTCGAAATTTAATTTGATTGCAAAAATATTCACTTTCATTTTAAGAAAAAAGTTTAATGCTTTAATGTTTTGTCAAAATGTGATAAACTGTTGAAAGCAAAATTATAAGTAATCATTTGAAATTTTTATTCTTTTCCAAATATCTCAGCAGTGATGTTTATAAAAAAACAGCTTAGGTCAAAATGATTAGCCCTCTTAAGAATTTTCTTTTTAACTACAAAAACCCCTGTTATCCAATGACTTACAAAATTAACCTAGTTAAGGCTTTAAATTGCTCTTTAAATATTATGTATTGTCATCATGGCAAAGACAAAAGATATGAGTTGCTAGAAGTTGTTTATTAAAATGTTTTTAAAACATCTCAGCAGGGAAATATTTGTAAAATAATTCAAATGAAAATTTAATCAGTTCCAAAAGTGTGTGAGATGTGGGGAAAATGCTAAATTTAATTGACCACAGTTGCTTGAAGCTAACATAACTTCATAGATAATTTAGCAAACATTATTAACCGCCACTCCATACACATGTACAAAATAACTCAAAATCTTTAAAAAAAAAACTTGAAAAATTGTAAATAACTAGTAGTTTATTTGCTAAAACTATGCAGATTTTAGACAATTTTTATGCATCCCTTACAGGTCAGAATGGATTTCATTGCATTATAATGGTTAATAATAAAATTTGTTCATCTCTTAACTCTTATACTACATATGTTTTTGTTTCCTTCACTGAACATGTGTTTTATATTGTGACTAATTGAAACTACTGCTGTCTGATTTTCAGGTCGGATACGGTCAGCTTCCATTCGATCTTACTGACAGCTTCCCGAGTTATCCTGACATCTGCTTCCGGGTGGAGGGTTATGACTTCCTATGTCATAAGGTCACTATTTATTAATACTTATAATCATAATCCCTGCCTGTGTATGCTTGAACAGCATTATGGCTCTCTAAAACAATGTTCTAATATCCATCTATTACTCAGAATTAGTTATGAGAATGATGCTGCTTTAATATTGTATTAGTGGTTTTGATTAAAATTGATTGTGTATGTGTGTGTGTTGCAGGCGTTTTTCTGTGGCCGCAGTGATTATTTTAAGGCTCTGTTGGAGGATCATTTCAGCGAGGGAGAAACTCTACAGACTCATCCCAGTATTCCTGTCATCACGCTTCATGATGTGTCCCATGATTTGTTTACAAGAATCCTTTATTACATTTATAGTGACAACACTCAGGTACACAAACACACACACACTTACAGTTACAGACACTGGGCTCTATTTTAATGATCTAGGCGCAAAGTCTAAAGCGCATGGTGTAAAAGCATTAGTGGATGTATAAATGTACTTTTGCTATTTTAAGGGTGGAAAAATACAGTTTGCACCCCAGCGCATGGTCTAACAGGGCTGTGCTTATTCTCTTAATCAGTTATTGGTGTGTTTTGAGCGTAACAAGCTTTACTAGCGAGAAAACAGTTAAACAGTGCATCTGCAGCATGAGGATAAAGAACGAGCCTCCTCCATTTAGCCTCTTACTATCTCTTTACTCCTTTACTTTCATGGAGTAAGGAAATGGTGTTGTACGCACTCCACTGAAGACATCCATTAGCCTACCTATTTAATTTAGCTTGTTAAATTCAAAGGTTTGTTTCAAAACTATTTCTAAAGTCAGTTCTAATTTACAGCAAACAAATAAATGAGCAATAATAACGAAGTGAGGTCAAACAACTGAGTTATACCCAAACACACGTCTTGTTATTATATGGTGATCATATGTGTCATGATTACCAGCAATCTAACCACCAGAGATCGCTGGTAAACATTCATTCTCACATAAACTACAAATCTGCCATGTTATGGACTACAACACCCAGTCATGCCATACACACACAACCGGTTCCAGACTGATTACATACTCACAGCTGAAGCTGCTCACACTGATTATTTGGACTATTTAAACCCATCTGTTCCACACACATGTGCTGAGTATTTTTTAGCTGTTGCTGTCTGTATGTACGTGTTTTTCTTTGTTTCCTGTTTGCTGTGTAATCAGTCTGGATCTGGAACCGGTTGTGTGTGCGAGTGGCATGACTGGGTGTTGTAGTCCATAACATGGCAGATTTGTAGTTCATGTGAGAATGAATGTTTGCCAGCCATCTCTGGTGGTTAGATCGCTGGTAATCATGACAATATGTCTCCAAAACCTGATAGGAGGACAAATCTAAGCTTGTTTTTTATTCAAACAAATATAAATCGGCATATAATAAGTAATACTACTAATAATAATAATAACATTATACAAATGCAGATTGTCGTGAATAAACTAAAAAAAGTTCACCCCCCAAGGTGAAGAAGGCATGGAGGCAGTTGCTTTTATATTTTATTTATTTATATTTTTATTTATTTATATTTATATTTATAAATAAGAATATATATATATGTATATTTTTAGAAAATAATCGTTTTTGTAACATTTTAATCCTTTAATTATTTTTTTTATTTGTAAAGATATTTGTGTATTGCTGTACATCCTGTGTGTATTAAGCAATGTGTAAGTGTTTGGACCTGCATAGACTCTGCACTGGACTTTAGACCTGGGGTCCGTTTTTCGTACGTGGATTACTCAGTTAGCTGGATTTTGATATTGACGATTTGACCCGATCCAGTATCGTTTCGTTCTTCAAAACTCATCTGAGACTTGTTGTCATAGCAACAGATCTGGTAGCTTAAACCTACTTGGGAGCGGGTTCATTTCATATAAACAGGAATAGTTTGGGTCAGTTCAAGTAAAGAAAATACTGAAAGTACTAAATGCTGATATTTTCTTACAGTAGTTATATTCATTCATTCATTCATTCATTCATTTTCTTATCGGCTTAGTCCCTTTATTAATCCGGGGTCGCCACAGCAGAATGAACCGCCAACTTATCCAGCACGTTTTTATGCAGCGGATGCCTTTCCAGCCGCATCCCATCTCTGGGAAACATTCATAAACACTCATTCACCCACACACTCATACACTATGGACAATTTAGCCCACCCAATTTACCTATACCGCATGTCTTTGGACTGTGGGGGAAACCGGAGCACCCGGAGGAAACCCACGCGAACACTGGGAGAACATGCAAACTCCACACAGAAATGTCAACTGAGCCGAGGATCGAACCAGCGACCCAGCGGCCTTCTTGCTGTGAGGCGACAGCACTACCTACTGCGCCACTGCTTCGACATAGTTATATTCACTTAGGAAAAAAGTAAATATATATTTTTAACTATATATATATATATATGAATAAAACGTATGCAATCTGCACTCTGAAATAAAAGTAAAACATTGCCACCTAGTGGTTCAAAGAGAAAATGTATTAAAATGTACTTTTTAGATACAAATGTCTACATGCTTTACAATATTTGACTTATTTAAAAAATGTATGCAGTCATGCATGAGTTTTGACCGCTAATATGCAGGTGATTTGATGCTTTGCAAAAGTTGCAGGCACCTTTACTGATATCAAAATGCTTTTTTGATGCAAAAATAATAATATAGTTATTCCTGTCACCTATTAAAAAAATTGAGTAGGCCTAGGCTACTATAATAAAGAAAATCTTCTCTAAATGTAGGACTAAATAGATTGATTTGCATTGAAATACATGATGAATACTCTTCTTGACACATGAAAGTGTAAAGCCTGCAGCTCAGAACAAATGTGGAGAGTTATTGCGTGTCATATTTAACAAATTGCTTACTGCTAATTTTATGTAATTTTGCTCACATGTATAATTAAATATGAATCAGATGATGTCATTACGCTGATGTGCCGATGGATCTGTCCTTCAACACACGCAGCGATCTTAGATCAGTTCATCCAGACATTTTAATCTGATTGGCGATCTTGTTTGAAGAACCAAGTTAGCCAGAGATCAGTTATCAAGATGAACAGGTACGAAGAACAGACCCCAGGTTTTGCTTGGTCAATGGCGCAGTCTATTTCAGTTCTTGAAAATGGCAACACGCCAGCAATGTGCCTTAACACACTATCTTTCTAGACCAGCACACACAAGTCCAAAAGTGGCACAAATGGATTTGCTATTTAAACAACGTGGTGCAAAAATTGACAGTTGCGCTGGTCTGAAAATAGCAACAAATCACGCCTTATTGCGCCGGGTGTCTGAAAGGGCCCTATGATAAACACTATATTTCTCAGTGTTGTTATCAGAAGGACATAAATGAACTATTAGCAGAAATTAGCAGAAATGTGGGAAAGTAAATAACTCTCCAGCATTAAAATATATATATTTTTTATGAATGTTGAGATAAAAGTGAAGTGAAATGTGTTCAATAAAATACATTGCTTGATTTAAAATATTAATACTTCATTTTAATAGCAGTACTGTATCATATTTTAATAAAATAAATATATTATTATATTATTGTTATTATATTTATGATACTAAAATATACATTACATTAGCTAAAACAAACAAGCATATGATAATTTACATTGATAAATTTCTATCCATACTTTTGTCAGTTAGGATATATTTAGATTTTTAAACTTCAAATATTTTCCAAATGGTGTTTAACATAGCAAAGAAATTTTTCACAGTATTCCCTATAATATTTTTTTCTTCTGGAGAAAGTCTTGTTTGTTTTATTTCGGCTAGAATGAAAGCAGTTTTTCTTTTTTTTTCTTTTTTCTTTTTTTTCGGCTAGAATGAAAGCAGTTGTTCATTTTAAAGACCACTTTAAGGTTGATATAATTAGCCCCTTAAGCAATATAAATTTTTTTCGACTGTCTACAGAACAAACCATCATTATACAATGACGTCACTTAGTTAAGCCTTTAAATATCAATCTATCTAGTGAAATATTATGTACTGGCATCATTGCAAAGATAAAATAAATCAGTTATTAGGGATGAGTTATTAAACTATAATGTTTTTATTTTTAACAAAATCTCACCGTTAAACAGAAATTGGGGAAAAATATATACAGGGGGCAAATAACTAAGGAGGGCTAATCATTCTAACATCAGCTGCATGCTGGGGTATGAATTATAGAAGTGGTTGATTTAAAATGAATGGTGCTTTAAAAGTGTGTGAATCTGCTGTTCATGAAAGCGTGGGAACCTGTGTATTTGTGTTTTTCAGCTGTCTCATGAGAATGTGTATGAGGTGTTGTGTGTGGCCGACATGTACCTGCTGCCGGGTTTGAAGCGTCTGTGTGGCCGAACTCTGGCGGCGCTGCTCAATGAGGAGAACGTGCTGCACATGTGGAGAACAGCCAAACTCTTCCGACTGTCCCGTCTGGAGGACCAGTGCACTGAACACATGGCCAAGATCATCGAGAGGGTACTGCACACACAATGCACATCACTATCATTATATGCATGTATATATATATATATATATAGGTGAACTAACCATTTAAATATTGCAGCAGTCATATTATAATTTGTATTTTTAGTGTGATTGAGCTCAGAAATAAAAGTCCTGTTTGTTTCAGCTCGTTGAAAGGCCGGAGTTTGCCGACATGATCAGAGAGGATGCTGGGAATGTGGCCGCCAGACAGGAGACGGACTCCATTCCTCTGGTGGACGAGATCCGCTTCCACATCGCCAGTAATGTTCAGACGTACAGCGCCATTGAGGAGGCCAACCAGAAACTGAGCGCCCTGGAGCTCCTGCTGGCCAGCATCGGCCTGGAGTGCTGAAAAACACGTTCAACGCTGCACACATGACCTGCAGAAACACAGCTGAGCACACATCACTTGTAGCAAACTACTATAATCGAGTCTAACCAAAACCAGATACTTAAAACGTATGGCAGGCCATGTTAGCCGAAAATGTTTCCAGCGTTACTTGACATAATTGCATGTTTACAAGTAAGAATTAGAGCTGTATAATTGAGTTTTTTCTAGCAATTTGAGAGCTCTCGAATTTAATTATTTATATGAACAATTCTAGTTAGAGAGCTCTATAAATGATTGTTTACCTGTCATGAGTCTTAATTACTTTCCGTTCATTTTCTAAAGGGATATTTCACCCCAAATATTACAATTGACTCTATATTTGCTCTTCGTTAAGTTCATTATCTTTGTTAGGTTCATTATTCTGTTAAACACAAAAAAAGATTTTTGGAAGAATGTTGGATACCTTTAACCATTGATTTCCATATTAGGAAAAACAAACACTTTTGAAATCGATGGTTACAGGTTTCCAACTATCCCTTTAATTAAAGACTCTGTTGTTGAATTTGCACTAGTAAAATACCAATTAGAATGAACTACAATTACATTCATACTACTTATAATTCCAGTTAGAGAGCTCCACAAATGAATGTTTATTTGTCATGCAACTCCATTACTTTCCTTTGATTATCTAAAGGGATAGTTCACCTCAAATATTACAATTTACTCTCTATTTGCTCTTCCTTAAGTGTTTCTAAACCTTTGAGGTTCAATATTCTGTTAAACACAAAAGAAGATATTTTGAAGAATGTTGGAAAACCGGTAACCATTGACTTTCATAGAAGGAGAAACAAATACTGTTGACATCAGTTCCCAACCATCCCTTTAATTACAGAGCTCTGTAGTTGAATTTGCACTAGTAAAATACCAATTAGAGAGAACTACGATTAAATTCATACTAGTTATATTTCCAGTTAGAGAGCTCTGCGAATAAATGTTTACTGGTCATCCATCTCATTTACTTTCCGTTCATTTATTACAAGCATAGTTTACTACAAAATAAATTCATTTACTCTTTAATTTCTGTTCAGTAAGTGGTTCCAAACCTTTATGAGGTATATTATTCTGTTGAACACAAAATAAGAGATTTTAAAAAATGTTAGAAACCGGTAACCATTGACTTCCATAGTAGGAAAATCAAATACTGTTGAAGTCAGCGGTTACAGGTTTTTTCAAAATAACTTGAAGGGAGAGTAAATGATGCCATACTATCCCCTCAATTATAGAGCTCCTCGGGTGAATTAGCACTAGTAAGAAAAAACATTTAGAGAGAACTACAATTAAATTTGTCTGAGTTATAATTACAGTTAGAGAGATCTACAAATTTTTTTTTACTAGTCATGAGTCTCCATTACTTTCCGTTCATTTTTTTAAAGGGATAGTTCACCCCAAATATTAAAATTTACTCTCTATTTGCTCTTTGTTAAATGTTTCCAAACCTTTAAGAGGTTCATTATTCTGTTAAACACAAAAGAAGAGATTTTGAAGAATGTTAGAAAGCGGTAACCATTAACTTTCATATAGGGAAAAACAAATACTGTTGAAGTCAATGGTTACAGGTTTCCATCCTTTTAATTACAGAGCTCTGTAGTTGAATTTGCACTAGTAAAATACCAATTAGAGAGAACTACGATTAAATTCATACTAGTTTTAATTCCAGTTAGAGAGCTCTACGAATGAATGTTTATTAGTCATGCGTCTCCATTACTTTACGTTCATTTTCTAAAGAAATAGTTAACCCCAAAGTTAAAATGCACTCTATTTACTCTTTATTTAGTGGATCCAAACCTTTTAGTTTCTTCATTCTTTAGTACACAAAAGAAGAGATTTTGAAGAATGTTAGAAATCGGTAGCCATTAACTTCCATAGTAAGAAAAACAAATGCTGTTGAAGTCAATGGTTACAGGTTTCCAACTTTTTTCAAAATATCTTCTTTTGTGTTCAACAAAAGGAAGAAGCTCAAACAGGTTTCTGACTAGAGGGAGTAAATGGCAGAGTTTTCAATTTTGTGAAAACTGTACCTTTAATTATAGAGCTTTACAATTTAATTAACGCTAGTAAAAAAAAACAAAAAAAAAACAAAACAATTAGAGCTCTAGAAATAAATGTTTACTACTTATGCGTCTCTTACTTTCCATTCATTTTTTTAAAGGGATAGTTCACCTCAAAAATTAAAATGCACTAATTTCTCTTCAATAAGTGGTTCCAAACCTTTATTCTGTTTAACACAAACAAAGATATTTTGAAGAATGTTAGAAACTGGTAACCATTGACTTCCATAGTAGGAAACACAAATAGTAATGTCTGTAAACATGTAAAAGTCTTTTTCAAAATAACTAATCTTATGTTTAACAGAAGAAAGCTACTCAAACAGGTTTCTGACAAGTAAAAGATGAGTTAATCATGATAGAATTTCCAGTTTTGGGTGAACTGTCTCTTTAATTTAGAGATCTGCAATAAAATTTTTACTAGTTTAAAAAAAACAATAAGAGAGCTCTACAAATAATTTTTTTACTAGTCATGCATCTCCATTTACGTTTATTTCTCAAGAGATGGTTTACCTTAAAATTAAAATGTACTCTTTATATACTATCCATTAAGTGGTTCCAAACCTTTAAGTTTCTTCATTTGGTAGTACACAAAAGAAGAGATTTTGAAGAATGTTAGAAACCGGTAACCATTGATCTCCATAGTAGGAAAAACAAATGATGTTGAAGTGACTGGTTACAGGTTTCTAACTTTTTTCAGAACATCTTCTTTTGTGTTCAACAGAAGACAGAGACTTAAACATGCTTCTGACAAGTTAAGGGGGAGTAGATGATGACAGAGTTTTCAGTTTTGGATAAACTGTACCTTTAATTGTAGAGCTCTGCAATTTAATTTGCACTATTAGAGAGCTCTACAAATGAATTTTTACTAGCCATGCGTTTCTATTACTTTCCGTTCATTTTATAAAGGGATAGAAAATGAAAATTTACTCTTTATTTACTATTTGTTAAGTGAATCCAAACCTTTAAGTTTCTTTATTCTGTTAAACACAAAAGAAGAGATTTTGTAGAATGTTTGAAAGTGATGACCATTGACTATATAGCTCTGCAGTTAATTTTTCTATAGTAAAAAACTATTCGAGAGCTCTAGAAATAAATGTTTATTAGTCATGCATTTCCGTTCCATTTTTTTAAGGGATAGTTCACCTAAAAATGAAAATGTACTCATTTCTATTCAATAAGCGGGTTTCGAACCTTTATGAGTTTCTTTATTTTATTCTACACAAAAGAAGAGCTTTTGAAGAATGTTAGAAACCAGTAACCATTGACTTCCATAATAGGAAAAATGAATATCATTGAGGTCAATGGTTACCCCTTTCCAACTTTTTTCAAAATATTTTCTTTTGTGTTCAACAGAAGAAAAAAAACTCAAACATAATGGTGACAAGTGAATGATGAGTAAACAAAAACAGAAGTTGAACTGTGCCTTTACAGAGCTCTGAAGTTTCATTTGCACTAGTAAAACAATCTAATCTACAGAGAACTACAATTAAATCTAGTTATAATTCCGGTTAGAGCTCTCTGAATATCTTTTTACTAGTAAATACTCTAATTTTTGAGCTCTTTGTTTCCTTTTTTTTATTAGTAACACTTAGAGTGATCTCCAATTAAATGACTGCTAAGACGAATACAATTACTGACTATTACAGTTTTACTAGTTAGAAAAAAACATTAAAAATATGTTTAGTTGCATGTCTCTAAAATACGAGATCTCTCTAATTATATAGTTAAATAAAAAAAACTATTAATAATAACAGAATTGTATTCTAGAGCTCTCTGATTAAATAATAACCAGTAAGAAGGAAATGCAGAGCTCTGTTATTGAATAAGCGAGCTCTTTAATTTCACGTTTACTAATTGATTGACATTATTAGTATTTAATCGTGAATCGCTGTCGTTTCATTCTCACTATTAAAAGTGCAAATATAACTAGTGATGCTGGAACTATTTTAGGCTAAATCGCCTTGCCATATACGCACATAGAGTCTGGTTTATTGTATTGCAGTGGGGCTGTTGTGATCCAGTAAAGCTTCCCGCCTTTAGTTGTTTTCCACGAACAAAGCTTGACATTTGCATCATTTCAGCGTCGATATTAACATTCAGTTCTTTCGAATGCCTCGTTTTCCAGATGTAGCAGAAACTTTAGGTTAAGAAGCTTCCAGTTAAAACAATATTACGTCATAGATGTTACATCACCGAATAGGATTCATTCTGGAAGGAAAGATTTATTTACGTGCGTTCATAAATAAGTTTGAGCTCATGATAGGACCGTTAATCAGATTTATTTTCCTCTGATATTTGTGTGATAGTTTGCCGTTAATTAAAGCATACGGATTATTATTTATGCCTCTAAATGTGCGTTCACTCATGAATATATCTTCCAGCACTTACGTTCCTGAAGCTTTGAATTTGCAGGAATGGCTTATGCTAATGTGCATGCAATATTTGCATCAGTGAACCTGATTTAATCGTTGTCCTCAAACGTTTTCCCTGTTTTGATTTTATTTTCAGCCTTTTATTTATTGTTTTATGCTGGTCTTAAAGCGACACGTCGATGAGATGTGGATCATATTGCGCTTGTTTTCCACTGCAGCACTTGGTGAATTTGTGTAAGATTGAGTTACTGAATGGGCTGCTCAGGAGAAACTCCCACAGGTGAGACTGATTTATGAATATTCATGAATGTCAAAAGTCATCTGTTTACGATCTGATTGGTTGGCATTTATATGAGTTTTTGTGGGAGACTATGACTGAATGGGATGTACATAGGTGAGCAGAAATAAATATTATTTAATGTATTATTCGTGTGTGTGTGTGTTTCATTTCAAACACACACATTTCCCTTTTGTCCTTGTTCTGCAATAATTTTATTGTTCAGCTTTTTAAATCAGTTTTTATCTTAATTGAAGTCTGTTTGGTTGGCTTTGCAAATGCCTAAGCCTAAAACAAAGATATTTGCTTTGATATTTTAAATAATAGTTCAAAGTTTATATCATTTTATATAATAGTCTACATTGGCTGGAGTGTATGAGTGTGTGTAAATGTATCTCTCATTCCCACTACTTGGTTGCGGCTGGAAGGGCATCCGCTGCGTAAAACATATGCTGGAATAGTTGGGGGTTCATTCTGCTGTGGCGACCTCTGCTAAACAAGGGACTGAACTGAAGGAAAATGAATGAATGAATTTCATATTGGCACAAACACATTATTAAAATTGTATTATCAGGATATTTGGAGTAACATTAAAAACGTTTAATGAGAGAACAATATAAAATACACTCGCCGGGCACTTTATTAGGTCCACCTTACTAGCACCAGGGTGCACCTCCTTTTGCCTTCAAAACTGCCTTAATCCTTCGTTGCATAGATTCAACAAGGTACTAGAAATATTCCTCAGAGATTTTGGTCCATATTGACATGATAGCATCACGCAGTTGCTGTAGATTTGTCCGCTGCACATCCATGATGTGAATCTCCCTTCCACCATATCCACCACATAAGGTGCTCTATTGGATTTAGATCTGGTGAATGTTTAGGCCATTTGGTTACAGTGAACTCATTGTCATGCTCAAGAAACCAGTATGAGATGATTTGCGCTTTGACATGGCACATTACACTATGGTCATAAAGGGATGGACATGGTCAGCAACAATACTCAGGCAGGCTGTGGCATTGACATGAGGCTCAATTGGCACTAATGAGCCCAAAATGTGCCAAGAAAACATCCCCCACACCATTACATCAACACCACCAGCCTGAACTGTTGATACAAGGCAAGATCCGTGCTTTCATGTTGTTGACACCAAGTTCTGACCCTACCATCCGAATGTCGCAGCAGAAATCGAGACTCATTCAGTACATCTCCAATCTTCTATTGTCCAATTTTGTGTGAGTCTGTGTGAATTGCAGTCTCAGTTTCCTGTTATCAGCTGACAGGAGTGGCACCCGGTGTGGTCTTCTGCTGCTGTAGCCCATCCGCCTCAAGGTTGGACATGTTGTGCGTTCAGAGATGTTCTTCTGCATATCTCGGTTGTAACCAGTGCTTATTTGAGTTACAGTTGCCTTTCTATCAGCTGGAACCAGTCTGGCCATTCTCCTCTGGCATCAACAAGGCATTTGTGCCCACAGAACTGCCGCTCCTTGGATATTTTCTCTTTTTCAGACCATTCTCTTTAAACCTTAGAGATGGTTGAGCGTAATAATCTCAGTAGATCAGCAGTTTCTGAAATCATCAGATCAGCCCTTCTGAGACCAACAACCATGCCACTTTCAAAGTCACTTTTTTTTGCTGCCATGTGATTGGCTGATTAGAAATTTGCATTAACAAGCAGTTGGACAGGTGTACCTAATAAAGTGGCCTGTGAGTGTATGTAGTGTGTGTTTATTTTGCTTTAAAATTGTAATTCTTCAATATTTGTTCATTCTATGTCTACTTACAAGCTTGAATAAAATAACTCTGTAACATTCATATTCGTTTTTGTGTTTACATTTTTTAGCCTCGGTTTTGGTACTTCAAAATCTCATAGTATATGACTTAATACAAAATTAATGCACAGTTGTATCAACTTTATTTCAGAAAGTCGCCAAGGAAATCTTTCTAATTGAGCTATATAGCTGTACTAATTTTGTCCTGCAGAAGGCGCTGTTTGTTTGTTTTTCACACACTGTTAAATTTAAATGGGGCAAGTTGCTCTAGCAGTACCTAAAAGTTAAAACGTAGCATAGTTGTGACCATAGACGGGTCGTGACATAATTAAAGGGACACTAAGTTACAACTTGCACACTACTACATATTTTGCTAAATATAGTTTTTTTCTGTAATTAAATATTTACGACAGCCTCCCCTCAAATCACTTTTATTGTCACATCAGCAGCAGCACTTGTGCTTTGATGAATAAAAGCCTACCTCTTGTATGACGGTAGAAAAGAGATGTTGACATTGAGAAGCATAGGGTGATAATGAAGAATGATTACCCTCTATTGTCAGGCTTAATTTTTCCTTAATCTCACTTTTTTGTAAAAGGAGTTCAAATTTATTTCAAGAACTCTTCTCTTCTTTATTTCAAGAATTCTTATTTTCTTATCCATCAATTGAAGTG